CGCCGCCTCCGTCTGCCTGCTCCCGGGCTCCAGGCCCAGCGCGCCCAGATGCCGGGCGGGACCCCTCCACCCGTTGCTGGAACACCAACAGCAGTCTTGGAGCCTCTGGGCGGGAGGAACTGGGGCCTCCACCGACACCTGCTTCTTCCCTCACCTCGCAGCCTCCCACACCTGTTGGTCTGACCTCTGCCCCGCCGCCGCCACCGAGTAACCTAAGGCTTTTGGCCTGATTCGAGCTCACTGTGTCTAAACCTCTAAATGCGGTGCGAAAAAATCCTGGGGAATGTGCCATGGCAAAGCCTGGGCATTTCAAGTGCTTTTCTGGATTCTCATCAATTCCTCTTTACAGGAATCTTTATCCGGAATTCAGCTAGTCCCAAACCCCACGTGGTGTTGCTCTGCTTGTGTTTTTGAATCCAGGGGCCTCTTTGAATCAGAAGCCCTTTGTATAGAGATAAGTATCCTTCAGGCCAGAAGCAGCCTCCACTTTTTTCGCAGTCCCATTTCCTACCCAACGCTTTCTTCTGAGTTTTAAAGGCATTCGATAGAGAAGGGGTTGGAAACAGAACCTTCGTCCCCCGCCTGAGCGCCTCGGAGACTAGATATCTTCCAAACATCATCTCATTTACTTCCCTGAAGTTACTACTAGGTAGATTTCATGTCTGTTGAGAGGTGAGAAAGCTGAAACTTTGAGACTTAAGAATCCTGGCCGAGGTCACCCTCCTCCGAAGCTTCATCTCTTGCCACCACTTTCTGGTGCACACCTAGGACAGATTTCAATCCCTGAGATCCCAGGATGAAAACTATGTTCGCCAAATACCAGCTACAGTGCCAGAAGAGATCATGGAACAAGGTGTGGCAACCTGCTTGAGAAGAGGAGCCAAAACATCATAGTTGAACCGTCCTGCAATAGAAGTGAGTAAGGTGAACCAGGTGTGGTGGCTCATGCCTGTAATCCCAGCACTTTGGGAGACCGGAGTGAGAGGATTGCTTGAGGCCTGGAGTTCAAGAACAGCCAGGGCCACATAGCAAGAGCCTGTCTCTATTTAAAAAATCCAGTTTTTTTACATTTAAAAAAAAGAAGTAAGGCAACTTGAACCGGAAGTGCACAAAACTGCTATCAACTTTGCAAGGCTTTTCCCAATGACTTTGAGGGATGGAACCTGAAGGAAGGGGGAGGAGGCAAATAGGGAGGAAAGTGAAATGATTTATAAATGACTTGCTAATTTCATCCAAAGGGAGTAATGATAATTAGGGCATTCTTCCCACACGAAGATGACACAATTGACCCACTATCACTGAGGCAAGCAGTTTGGGCTGTTTTTCCAGTAGTATGACAGTGATGGTGTGTCAACCACAGGACCTCACCCACATTTCTATGGGACCTAGGAGTGTGGGAAATAACAGCCAGATTTGAGGTACAAATCCTGGTGCCCAGCCTGCAGAGCCTTTTTGCAGCAATCTAAGCCTGACTGCTCCTGTTGTATGGTCAAAGTCATTTTAATCTACTTTAGCTTATTCCTTGTAAAATGTTCAAGAATTGTATTTTGTCTTGAAAACTATGAATTTTATTGTTTATGGGGCGTTATTTTTTAAGGATTACAGGATTTTAGTTTTGGATGATGAAAAAGTTTTGAAGATGGATAGTGACAATGGTCACACAACATTGTAAATGTATAATGCCATCGTACACTTACATGGCTTTAAAGTAAACATGAAATTTTCTACATTTGTTTGTTTGGTCAACTGTTATCCTCCCTAAGGTACTTGAAGTTCTTTCTGACATTGCCACTGGCACTTACTATTTAAATATTGTTGGTCCTCTTGGATTCCATCAGTACTCCAGAGGCTTCCTTCATTTCGAATTTAACTGATTGTGTAGGAATACGTAATGCTGTTGTTAGCACTAGGGAACGTATCTGAGTCGCATTCACCGAAGTGTGTTAGCAGCAGCAAAGCTGTATGGGTCTGCAGCAACCTCAATTCTTGCCTCCTCCAAAGAAAGAATTCTACCAAGAGGCTTAAGGCAGAGGGAGAGACCAAGGCAAGTTTTAGAGCAAGAGTGAAAGTTTATAAAAAGTTTTAGAGCAAGAATGAAATGAAGTAATGTACACTTGGAAGAGGGCCAAGCGGGCAACTTCATAGATTCAAGTGTGCTGCTTGACCTTTGACTCGGGGTTTTATACATTGGCATGCTTCCAGGGGGTTGTGTCCCTTTTCCCCTGATTCTTCCCTTGGGGTGGGCTGTCTGCATGTGCAGTGGCCTGCCAGCACTTGGGAGGGACGACATGCTCAGTGTGTTAACTGAAGTTGCACGCATGCTCACTTGAGGCATTCTACCCTTACTAGTCAAGTGTTCCTAGAGGAAGGTCATATATGAGTACTAGTTAAATGCCACTATTTGGCTCTTGGTGCACACCTGTGAGCCCACTCGCCCGACTCCTAAGATCTTATCCAGAAGCTGCTGATCGCCAGTTTTAGGTATTTTCTGTCCATTGGGAGACTGCCTTTCCCTGGTGCCGGCTGTGACCAATTATTATTTTAGAGAGACAGTTTAACAACTGCCTGACCACCTGATGGTTGCCTGACATTCCTTGTGGGAGCGAGGAGCCCTCTCCTGCTCTGCTCACGTCTGACTACCTACTGTGACACTATGGAATAAAATGAGAAAAACTTAAAATTTGGGACAATTTTAACAGCTTTATTGAAGTATAATTGATATAACAAAATATATTTAAAGTGTTCAGTTTGATACACATATATACACATAGATACACCTATTTAAAAACCCATCACCACAACAGACAAAGGACATATTCATCACACCCAAAAGTTTCCTCATGTAACCCCTCCCTCCCAGCCTTCCTTACCTCTCCACCCCACCAGGCAACCCCTGATATGCTTTATGTAACTATACATTAATTTGTATTTCCTAGAATTTTATATAATTGGAATCACACATTGTATACTCTGTTTTATCTGACTTCTTTCACTCAGCAAAATTATTATGAGATTCACTGATGTTGTAGCATGTATCATTAGTTCATTCCTTTTATTACTGAGTAGTATTCAACTGTAGGGATACACCAGTGATTTTGCCCATTCCCTTATTAATGAACATTTTGGTTGTTTCCAGATTTTGGCTATTGCAAATAAAGCTGCTATGAACATTCATGTACAAGTCTTTGTATGGACATATGCTTTCATTTCTCTCCCATAAATACCTATAAATGGAATGGCTAGATCATGTGAAAGATGTATATTTCACTTTTTAAGAAACTACAAACTTTTTCCAAACTAATTGTACCATTTTACATTCCCACCAGTGTGTATGAGAGTTCCAGTTCCTCTGCTTCCTCACCAACAGTTGGTAGGCCAGTCTTTTTAAATTTAGTCATTCTTATACATGTGGAGTATGGTATCTCATTATGGTTTTAATTTGAATTCCCTTAATTTGATGCCCTTAATACGTAATGATGTTGAGCATCTTTTCATGTATTTATTTGCCATCTGTGTATCTTTTTCATGAAATGTTTGTTCAGATCTTTTGCCTACTTTTTATTGAATTGTGTGTTTTCTTATTATGGTATTTAACTTGTCACTGTTAGGATACATTTCAAAAATCCTGACCAAGTTCTAACACTAGAATGTGTCAGCAAATGCTCAGTTTAAGTAAAATGTCACATTACAAACTAACTACCAGGGTGTGGCCCAGCAATCTTAAGTACTTTCCCTGGAACCTTCTGTAATATGCAGAACACTTTGAATTGAAATAAATGCTGTTACGGAGGTCAACTCAACCTTTCCAAATTTTTATTATTTAAAAGCAGTTGGAGAGTTGTAGAAAAGTATTTTTTCATAGAGGCAAATTTGTGGGTCATGTTGCCATACATCTTGCCACGAAAATAATAATATAAAGTGTTTTGGAGAATACACCCTGAAAGTCTGTCAGAGGCATGTGAACCAAAGCAACTCCATCTTGAATAGGGACTAGGTGAAATGAGGCTGAGACCTGCTGGCCTGCATTCCCAGACAGTTAAGGCATTCTAAGTCACAGAATGAGCTGGGAGGTCGGCACAAGATACAGGTCATAAAGACTTTGCTGATAAAACAGGTTGCAGTAAAGAAGTGGGCCAAAACCCACCAAAACCAAAATGGCGGCAAGAATGACCTCTGGTCATCCTCACTGCTACACTCCCACCAGCGCCATGACAGTTTGCAAATGCCATGGCAACATCAGGAAGTTGCCCTATATGATCTGAAAAAAGGAGGCATGAATAATCCACCCTTTGTTTAGCATATCATCAAGAAATAACTATAAATATGGGCAACCGGCAGCCCAAGGGGCTGCTGAGTCTGGAGTAGCCATTTTCGTATTCCTCCTAACAAACTTGCTTTCACTTTATAGACTCACCCTGAATTCTTTCTTGTGTGAAATCCAAGGACCCTCTTTTGGGGTCTAGATCAGGACCCTGTTCCTGTAACAAGTCCACAATGCCAGAGAATTAAAGAGAACCACAAAGGCGTGGATAAGTTACGGTAAAGGCAGAAGGGACCCTAAAAGGCTCAGAGGCTAAGAGACTTTTAAGCACCTGCTATGTGCTGAGCACTATTAGAGGCACATAACAGGCAGTGAAATCAAAATTCACCCAAATAGGGGCATTTTGAGAGTGAAAGGGCACTATTAATGTTTTTTTGTTTCAGGCAGTCCTGATAAAGCCGCTTCATAGTGTGCTCATTTCACCCTCAAAAGTGTCCCATTGAGATGCTAAATCACAGTCACCCCACTTACAGGCATCACTTGCAATAACCCAATAATCTATTCCTACTTTATAATCAAAAACTAAGGTTTAGTAGGGTACACAACTCGGTCAATGTCAAACAGTTAATAGAGAGCAGAGTTGGGATTTGAAACCAGGCCTGGTTTAGAATGATTGCTCAACAAACCAGCTTCCCAGACCCCTGAAGAATCTGAAGTCACCCTTTTTTGAGAGGGCAAGGGGGGATGCTTTATGGAATTTATTATAAACATGCCCCTGGCCTGGCACAGTTGACTCACGCCTGCAATCCCAGCTCTTTGGGAGGCAGGTGGATTGCTTGAGGCCAGGACTTCGAGACCAGCCTGGGCAACATGGTGAAACCCCGTCTCTACTAAAAATACAAAAAGCCAGCATGGTGGCACACACTTGTAAGTCCCAGCTACTCAGGAGGCTGAGGTGAGAGAATCGCTTGAACCCAGGAGGTAGAGATTGCAGTGAGCCGAGATCGCACCACTGCACTCCAGACTGGGAGACTGCACTCCAGGAGAGTGAGGCTGTGTCTTAAAAAAAGCCCCTATCCTTTACATCTTTTTCTTTATAATAACAACTTTGTATTGGATTTGACAGTGATCCGTTGTTGTTGCCCATCTTCATTTCAAATCAGTTTTTCCAAAAGACATGTGAGCAGCCGAATAGAAGAGATGCATAGGGTGAGGTATGGGAGAAGGGGAGTAGAACTGCCATGGCCTCTCTGTCACGCCTCACTTCAGGAACCTCTGTGGGTTCAGCTGTCTGGAAGCTCCCTGAAATTGCTCTTGTAAGGCACATCTGCTCCTTTTTCCCCTCCCATTCGAGAGTGCTCACCAATTATTCCAGGTAATACTATTAGTACATCAATCGTGCACCACCTTTTCCACCAGAGGCAAGCATGTGGCGGACTTTTCAAAGGGATTACCTTATCCCCCGCTAGGCCCAGTACTGGGCCCAAGGAGGCACATGACCCAAACAGGACCCACCACAGTTCTTTATGGTAAACAGATATGGAAGCTGAAAACAAAGTCAAACTGACTTAGACAAAAAGTGGACTTTAGTGGTTCATGTGACATAAAAGTCAAGGAGATGTAGCATTGGGCGTGGCTAGATTCAAGGACTCAGTCAAAGGCTTGACAAACCAGTATGTCTCCACATACCTTTTCTCTTCTGCTAACTCCCTCAGCCCTACCCACCGGGGGTGAAATTGACCACCGGAAGGTCCAGGCTTACATCCTAACCTTCTAAGTGAAAAACTTCCCAACAGTTCTAACAAAAGTCGCAGAATTGAGTCTCATCGGCTTGGGGTCACCTGCCGATTTCCATGCTAATCACTGCGGCTACCGGGAGGAAGGCCCTGCTGGCGGGTCAGAGTATGTGCCTGAGGCAGGCGTGGAGGTAAGTTGGCAGCTCGGCCAGCACCACAGGAGCTGAGAGAGGGAAGATGCGCAACCTCAAAGGAAAACAAGGGAAAAGATGCTGGCGGGACAAATAAAGATGATGCCCACTGCACAAGCTCTTCTCTCTCCAGTCTGTATTGCAAGGCCGCTCACTTCCACGGGCCTTTTTAGAGTCCTGCACTTGATTTTTTTATCCGTTGTTTTTTATTTTTATTTTTCTCAAGGAGGGTTCTTAAACTCGTATAAGCTTCAGGCCCCTCAAAATCTGAAGCTATCCTACAAGAGAGTCACTCAGAATATCTACCTCCCTCTTATCAATTTAGGAACCAAGTCTTGTCAATTGCTCAACTACATTGCCTTTCGTCCACTCCTAACAGCTTGAAACTGAGGTTCTTATTGCCAGAAAATGGCATCCTGCCCTAGCCTTTTCCTTCTGATTCATCTCCAAAGCCTTACAGCAGGGCAGTTCCTTAAAAAATTAAAAACACCATTATCATGCACCTCTAGGAATATACCCAACCTAATTGAAAGCAGGGTCTGAAAGAAATGCTTGCATACCTTTGCTCACAGCAGCAGAGTTCACAGTAGCCAAGAGGTAGAAGCAACCTGTGTCCATCAGTGGGTGAAAAAGAAAACTAGAAGTAGTATATACATGCAACTGAATGTTATTTCCCTAAAAAGGAAAAAATTCTGACATATACTGTAACAGAGATGAACACCGAGAACATTATGCTAGTTGAAATAAACCAGTCATAGCAGGATAAATATGGTGTGATTCCATCCTACTATACTATGTAGTATTCCAAATACTGCACGATTCAGCTAGGGGATGAAGAGTCCAGGTAGTGGGGAGTTACTGTTTAATAGCTACAGAGCTTCAGTTTTGCAAGATGGAAAGGGTTCTATGGATGGATGGGTGGTGATGGTAGCACAACAGTGTGAATATACTTAATGCCACTGAACTGTTCACTGAAAAATGGTTAAGATAATAATTTTTATGTATATTTCACCACAATTTTTAAAAATCTGATGCTTTAATAGCTTTTCTACATATGCATGGGATCATAACTACCTTACTTAAAAGTCTAGTGGCTCTTCATTTGGCCACAGGCCAAGCCCAAGCTCTTTGACTTACAGAGTTGCTATAATGATGATTTTTAAAAATCATATATGCAAAGTACTTAATTATGCCACAGTGCCTGACACAGGGTAATTTCTCAATAATTGGGTGTTAGTAGCATGATTGTTACTAAGACTATTATCTGGCCTCTCCCTACTCTCCAATCTTGTCTTCCATCACTTCCAACCTTGTGCTTTAATTCTAGAAACAGCCCCGAATTGGCCATGCTGTTTTACACTGAGGTATCTTTGAATATGTTGTTTTCTCTGCTTCTATGTGTTAACATTTATTCTTCAAAATTGAATTCAGATATCACCTTTCCCAGAAGGCTTCCTTGTCTCACAAACCTCCATGAGATTTATTCGGCCCCTTTTCTGTGTGTCCCTTCTATTTTGTAAATGTTCCTATTGTTGCTGCTGACACAGTGTCGTGTAATTTATTTGTTTACATGCCCCTCTCTAGTCTGAGAGCAGATTTAGGGCAGAAAACGACGCCTTCTTCACTGCATCATTCCCTGGGATCTTATATTGAATCTGGCATAAAGTTGATGTTCAACAAATGCTTGTCTGATGAATAATATGATGAGCACTTAGTCATTTTTACAAATCTTATCCCATTTAATCTTCAAAATTACAATTAGAAGGAAATATTATTGTCCTCATTTTTTTTTTAGAGGAAGAAACCAAGGCTCAGAGAGGTTAGTGACTTGTTTAAGGTCACACAGCACTAAGATCAGAATTAGAGTTTAGGGTTTTTTTTTCTGCTTCTGAAACCTATGTTTTTCTTGGCACATTATGTCATTATATATCTGTATTTCCTCAGACAGGAAGTGTAGAGAACACAGAAAAGCAAGAGTTAGATTCTGGGGTGGCTGAGAGATTCGGAGAAAAAGAAAAAGAGAGTGAGTAAAACCACAAACAAGTACAAATCATACTAAAATGAACTCAGCAAACAAGGAAGACGAAAGTTTTTAAGGAAAAAGGTGAACAAACATACAAGCTAAGTGCAGAAAGGAAAAGAGCCTTTTATTTTTCAATATGGTCCTTCTCATGGAGAAGCCTCAAGGCCACAGCTCCAGTAGAAATCACATTTTGGGGTAAGGAAGAGTCGGTGAAGACATGGAGGGAGCAGATTTAGAAAACCATCTATAAGGCCGGGTGGCGGTGGCTCATGTCTGTAATCCCAGCACTTTGGGAAGCCAAGGAAGGTGGATCACTTGAGCCCAGGAGTTTGAGACCCACTTGGGCAACATGGCGAAACCCCATCTCTACTAAAAATACAAAAATTAGCCAGGCATGGTGGTGTGTGCCTGTAGTCCCGACGATTACTTGAGCCAAAGATGTCAAGGCTGCAGTGAGTAGTGATCCTGCCACTCCACTCCAACCTGGGCAATGGAGCGAGATCCTGTCTCAGAAAAACCAGAAAGAAAGAAAAACCATCTACAGTGGAGGGAAGCTGAGAAGGGGGCAGTCCTTAACAAGTAGATAGCTGGGTTGAGAGAAGCAAAGGCGAATTTATAGAGTTACTAAAGGCAGGGGCCAGGAGAGCTGAAGAGATGAGAGTTCTGGGAGTGGAAGGGACTAGCAGGAGCTGAGGGAGTGAACTGCTCGTTCTGGACATGGGGAAGGAAGACAGACCACCTCTCCCTTTAAAACTCCTCCTGCCACTTTCTCTTTCTCATGATAGCTGTCCTTTCTCTCCTCATTCGCATATTCATTTATTCTCATGATAGCTGTCCTTTCTCTCCTCATTCCCATATTCATTTATTCTCATGATAGCTGTCCTTTCTCTCCTCATTCGCATATTCATTTATTCTCACTCATTCCCATATTCATTTATTCTCACTCTCTCTCTTTCTCTGTGTGTGTGTGTGTTGTTTCTTCTCTCTCCTTGCCTTATTCCTGCTTGAAACAATTGGGAATACCTCACTGATTTTATCTATTGTCATTCAGGTTCAAAGACATTGCTGATTCTCTAAATTTGTTGTTAACAATAAAACACAGTGTTTTGACAGCAGCCACAGGACTTGGCAGTCCCAAAAGGGAATTCTGGAAGAGAGGAGAGGGCCCGGTCAGGGCTGTCTTTTCTGGAGCTCATAACCTTCACAAGACTTTTATGCAATTATTTTTGTGTGTGTATGTACTCACCTACATTTTTGGGGGGACAGGATTCTACATTTATTTATTATCAAAGGGAAAGAGGATCAAAAAGTT